GGCAGGGGCTGGCGTGAGGGCAGACAAGCAGAGCCCCAGGCAGCACGGGGCGCAGCATTCACCCCAGCCCCAGCTGCAGCAGCCCTGGGAGTGGCCAGCTGCCTGCAGGTGCTGGGCTGTATCGTGCTCTACCTGTCCCCACTCACTTCTGCTCCTGGGCTGCACCGTGCCCTGGTGCAGGCAGCTGGCATTGGCCACTCCTGGGATTGCTGCAGCAGGAACTGGAGTGAGTGGGGACAGACAGAGCCCCAGGGGGTTCAGGGTATGGTGCAGCCAGCGGCTACAGGCAACTGGTGTCATCTGCTTCTGGGGCTGCTGCTGCAGCAGGGACTGGGGTGAGTGCTGCGCCCCTCGCCACCCAGGGCTCCACTTGCCCTCACTCACCCCAGCTCATGCTGGAGCGGCCCCAGAAGCAGCTGACACCAGCTGCCTGCACCAGGGCACAGCACAGCCCAGGAGTAGAGATGAGTGGGGACAGGTGGAGCCCAGGCATGGGGGACAGGCAGAGCATGGTGTAGCCCAGCAGCTGCAGGCAGCTGGTGCTGGCCACTCCTAAGGCTGGCGCCGCCCGGGGGGGGCCACTCTGTTCCCTCTGCTTTGCTGTCTTGTGCAACCCCAGGAGCAGCACCCCTCCCCCCCGCCCCTTAGCTAGTCCCAGCCTCCCTCCCCCTCTGCCATGTGAACCTATCCCTATTTGTTACATTGTAAAGTGGGTTCACTTTATGTGAATTAGATTTATCCGCCGTTCTCCAGGAACGCATGTATAGCATAAATTGAGGGAAACCTGTATAACCCTAAGAAATCCTTGCCTCTTTAAAACTAAGGCCATTTTTACATGAACCAGATTTCACGATTAAGGGCCCAACTCTCAGCAGATACTGATCAGTGCATCTCTGTAGAAGTCAGTGGATCTGTGCCCATAAGCACCAGCAGTGAATCTGGATCTAAGCACTTAAATTACAGCAACTCTGGGATGGCGGTTATAAGTCCCAGTACTCTAGAGGCAAACTAGAGCCTCAAATGATAGAAGCCTATTGTAATGAAGTGTAGTTGAGAGGTTCATAGACATTAGGGATGGAAGGGACCTCATGAGATCTTTGGGTCCAGCCCCCTGCCCAAGGGGCAGGAAGTCAGCTGGGGTCAGATCACCCCAGCAAGATAAGTATCCACCCCATCAAAATAAGCATCCAGGTATGGCATTACTTGTAAAAGGACTGGCTGGCTAGGTGCACTGTGTATCTGTGCACCTGTTGATTTAGAAGTATAAATTCATTAAGAACAAACTGTAAATGCAGTATCTGAAAAGGGTGCAGGCAGCAAGGAAGGAAAAACTTCAGGGTTGTGAATGGCTCTGCTAACCTTTTTATGTTCTTCCCCAGCCATATTTATGCAGAGAGCTAGCTAATGATGAGTGGTGTGTGAGCCCATTCTTTTTGAGACACTAGTGCCAGACTTGCATAGCTCTTGCCTCAGGGGGAATGTAAGGAATGTAGTTGTGGCCAGTCCCTGTGCATGGAGGGAAAAGGCTTTGTGTGCTGCCTCCCCATCATGCACACTCTGCATAGACAAAGACATAATCAAGTGCTGGTCTTTCTGACTGTAACAATGCTGAGGTTGTGTCCAAACAAAAGGGCTATAAACTTCCCTTTTTCACAGAAATCCTTAGGTTGAGCTCTGTTTTCAGATATTTGGAGGGCTGATATAATGCAAGACATTTTCACAGTGACCTACAATACACACTGTTTCTAAAAAGGGAACTGTGCTCTTAGCTAGGGTTACCAGATTTCCAGTTTCAAAAAAGAGGACACCTGTTGTGGTGGGGGGTAATGTGATTGTGGAGGAGGCAGTGATATGCCTGTGCCCTACCCCTGCCCCTCACTCTCAAGCCACATCCCCCAGCCCTGCTGCTGCCCCTCACTTCTGGCCCACAGTATCCCGCCCCTGCCCCCGTAACCAAGC